CTATCATTAGAAGACCCAGCAACAGAACAGCTTTTTGGGATTATTTTTATCTTTTTGCTCTCCTTATCTTATGGCCCACCTTTATATTGATAATATCTCAAAAGCAAGACCAACAATTCGTTTTTTCGTGTCTCACGTCGAATCACTTTTGGATTGAGGGTTTCTGTGCGGCATACGGCTCGAAGAATAAACGGATGATATAGGGTGTGGGTGTGGGTGTGAGCGGATCAAGAAGATGAACATGCATCCGCACCCACGCACCCACACCCATCCACTCACAGTCACATGCACATCCACACTCACACCCACATCTCACACCCACATCTCACACCCACACCCACACCCCACACCCACACCCACACCCATATTACTTCATTTCATTTATTCATTCCATTCTATTTTCTTGTGTCAGTATCGATCACGCGAAAACAATCTCGAACTGAAATAGATCAAATGATTGAACGAGCACAAGTAAGATAAATAATTTACATATTTTTTAAGAAATCTTTTAATTTCAAAGCCTACCAATTATGAATTGGTTCGTCAAGATATTATCGAAGGAATTCAGTCATCAATAAGTAATTTAGTATTGAAGTTAGCTGAATGTTATTATAGCGATGGAAATTCCAAAGAATTACTTTGTTTGGCTGGTACTGTTGTTTGTCAATATAAAGGAAATCGATATAATACTCCTATTGAAATTTGGTTTCAACAAGATCATCCACAAGTCCCACCATTAGCTTATGTTAAACCAACACCAGATATGTATATTTCAACAACAAGTAGAGATGTTCAACCTGATGGAGCCGTTATTATACCTTATCTTAGAAATTGGCGTCATGTAAACAAATACATGAATTTATTTATTTTATTTTCAATCGTTATTTAATTTCATTTTAGCCAAATAGTGATCTAGATACTTTATTAAATGCAATGTCTCAAGCATTTAGTCAATCACCTCCTGTATATTCAAATACGAATATGACTAATCGTTCAACACCATATCCAACGAATACATCCATTGCTAATTCAAAGGCATTCTCATCTCTTTCTAATGCATCACCAACAATATCGAGTGCATCAGCATTAACTTCGAACACATCTTTATTGGTCACTCACAGTAAATTTCATCATTGTTTCGTAAAATTCAACAGTATCTGTTTGTCTTAGTGGATGTTTGTGATCGATTCGAGATATTTAGTGAGCGATGAAAAAAATCATAGGACAAACTGTTTACAGAAGTTCAAAAAGAGTCGAATTTTTTAAAACAGTTCAATCATGGTTCTCAACTACGCTTCAAATATCTTAACGAGACAAATTTAAATGAAAACAGCACTGAATTTTTTATCTAAGAAAAACTTACGTCTTCACCCATTTCCATTTATGAAATCAAATCATAAACTTATTGCTGGTGATTTCACAAGTTCTCTATGCATATCTCACCAAAATTTAAAGAATTTTCCTAAAAAAGTTCATTTTACCCTCACTGATAAATTTACTATTACATTGAGAGATGGCCATTAATACTCGCATCTTTTCTTTCCAGGTCAAACTTTCAATCTCACATCCAACAATATTGATGAACAAAAGTATACTCATCGGTTCTCTGATATTGCTGCTGAACCACGACGAATGCTTTTACCAATTCAAGGATTTGAGCAAATGCCTCTGGTTTCTCTTGAAGAGGCTGTTACTCCTCTTGTCTCGCTTGTTCCAGATGTCGAACAAATGGTTTGGATCGCTAAACAGAATTGCAATGATCCAAAGGATGGTCTAACCACTGATGAGTCTGCATCCATCCTGCTTTATACAATGGAATGGGAACCGTATGAGAAGTCTTTCTATCTCGTACTCAATACTACTCTACGAGCAACGGTTCGCGAACAGCTAAAACCATGGTTTTTATATCTTCGACTCGTCTTCAATGCTCTCCAGAAACTTCCATCAACTCATCATGTTGTCTACCGAGGTATCAAATCGGATTTGACTGCTCAATATTCCAGAGGAAGCACAGTTGTTTGGTGGGGTTTCTCTTCATGTGCAGTGTCGATTGAAACCCTTAAGAATGAGCGTTTCTTGGAAAAAGAAGGAATAAGAACTCTCTTCAGTATTGAATGTGATTCTGGTAAAAATATTCGATCGCATTCATTTTATGCCGAAGAAGATGAAGTTTTGCTTCTTCCGGCTCGTCAATTTGAAATCATTGGCTGTCTTGATCAAGGAAATGGTCTTCATATCATTCAATTAAGGGAAACGCAACCGAAATTTCCGCTTATCAAACTTAACTCATCATAAAACAGAAAACGTCGCATATGACTTTGAAATCAAATTTTTTTCATATTTACATATGTCAACATGCATGCCATTCCGCTATCATTTGTAAGACAGAAATCATTAAAGGCAAAGAATAAATTCTAAATCATGTTAGACAAGAAAATATAGACGACCAGTTTCTCTTGATTAACCAGCAGCTCGATTGCAGTATAGTCATTACGATGATTGGCTAGTATTCGCTTATCTCATAATATATCCAAAATCTATTTTCATTGTAGAATTAAAATTGGATGTGGGTGTGGGTGTGGGTGTGGGTGGGTTTGGGAGGGTGTGGGTGTGGATTGAACTGTTCTGTATAAGCGAATCCACACCCACACCCAAACCCACCCACACCCACTCCCACCCACACCCACTCCCACC